CGACAGGCCGTACATGTGTACAGACAGTACAACGTAGTGAATTTATGACTGTTCCAACACGAATCCGCGATTCATTCTTTGACTGCTTTTCCCAACGAAAACTGGGAAGTTCCCAATCCAGTTCGCGAACCGACGAGTGTTCTCGAAAACGAACTTTGTGATGCTTAGCCTCCGTATTGACTAGCATTTGATTTGCACAAAATGTTCTCTTCTGTATAAGTACACCATTTCGTTTACGAAATCTTTCGTTAAATCACTCTACCAGGAGGTTCGTTACGTACTAAATTTCGTTTTTGGTCGAGGTCCGTCACCGCGAACGTTCAGAATTTTTTTTGGTTATTTCGTGCTCCCGAACGAATATAGCGAAAGTTAATTCCAAACGAAACTTTGTACTTATACAGTAGCATGCAAAATGGCTTGTGCTTACTCGCAAACCATTAGGAATCCTGAGTACTCACTCGTCTCAGGGAAAGTCACATAATACTGAATACATGTGGAAGAGAAATGGACATATGGATACGAGTTAAGAGTAACTCTCCATCACTGTAACATGATACTATATACAGTCAGAAAGTGCAATAACTAGGCACAAAACTGACAGAGTACTGAAACATTCGACGTCCTGACACCTAGCTTCAACACATCTCCGTAGCGCTAACCGACAGCCTTCCAACTTGGAAGGTTCAAGGTTATGGAAAAGACCAAAGAGGGGAAGGCAAGCGCAACGAAAACGAGCAAAAGCTACAGTGATGGAGAGTTACTCTTAACTCGTATCCATATGTCCATTTCTCTTCCACATTTATTTATGGCTCAACATCCGAGTTTCAAAATACTGAATACCTCTCACTTTATTTCCTGGCTGGCAGGTTGAGAGATAAGTGCGCCTTTCCTTTGCTGCTGCTGATTGCTGTCGTGGTATTTTCTGTACAATTTGACAGGTGCCTGCGTACTGGAAGGAGCGGCCACAAAGTGGAGCAGCTGGATTACCTTTCCAAGATATTGTCATAGTGAAGCATCAGAGAGTTATTCCAGGTATGTCACTCTCCTAAGTTTGTCACAATTTTAGGGGTGAAACGACTTACCCAAATTCCTTATCGACTTGATTCAATCCTATCGACTGGTTATCGACTGATATTGCCCTCGCACATGAACACAAGCACAGCGTATTTACACATACCGAAATGCACATGCAGGGGGTCACACATCCATGCACAAGCAAACAGAAGCACACTATGAGCACATGGTAGGTTTCGACGATCAAACGGACCCATGCGGAATGTGTCTTACACCGTTCTTGTACTCGGCTGAGTATCAAAGCGAAATGGATTCAGGTGCCAAGTGTACTTCACACTACATGGCCTGAACTCGCAGCACAAGTGTATGAATTACATGTACTTCTGGGGAAATTTAACTCATTAAAGTCATGTATTTTTATTATCTATGCGAGTTGATAAGGGTTTTCCTTCTATCGACGGGCCAGTCGACTTATCGACTCAGTTGTTTCACCCCTACACAACTTTATGACGTTCTCTGCGGATTCGATACATACCGTATTTCCCCGATTATAGGTCGCACCTTTTTACAATAAAAATCAAGGGTGAAAAGGGGGTGCGACTTACAATCGAGCATGACTTACTACAGAAGTCAATATATCAAAACGATATTGCTCAAACCTGGAAATGGGGGTGCGACTTATAATCGAGTGCGACCTATAATCGGGGAAATACGGTAGTCGAAACTGTGTTATAACTACTTGTATGTCACTGACATCACTCTGTTGATAAATCATGACCGACAGTCATGTGATTTGAATATGATGGATGATTTGAAGGAAGTGGTACATTTTATTTTTTATTTTCTTTGTCTATTAGAAACACCCATTGTGTTGTTCAAATTCTATGTTTGTTCTCCCAGGATCATCTGATGCTCAAGCTGCCGCGCTGCTGAACACTGATCGAACATCACTTCACTCTTCGTATGAACCGTTTGAGGATCCCTATGACCGGCTGGTAACAACAGCAGATCTCAAACAGCTGGCTCATGGCCTTAGCACTCTTCCGACTGGCAGTATGGTCACCAATGCCATCAAAGCCAACAACTACCGTCCATCATACAGCCAGGTGGATGTAATTGGCCTTGACCACTGCTACGTACCGTCTCAACAACCACCCTCTGCTTCCTTAGGAACTCTCCCGAGTGCACCGCCTCGTGTCCGGTTGCCATCTACCCAGCTGTCTCCTGCACCAGATTTATCGTGGGATGACTTAGTATCATCACTGAACTGAGGTCATGGTGATGCATGTGTCACAAGTCTGCCCGTACCACAGGGTGAGGTAAATGAGATAGCTCACGTGCCCCCCTGTACTCCGTGTTAGTTGGAAACATTGAGGCATAAAGGGGTATGTGTGTCTCAAGATGGTGCCAGGCGTCTTGAACGCGCGACACAGACTCAGGCCCGAGGACAGTTGTGGTTCTCATTGAGGATTAAACGGATAACTGCCAGCAATTTTGGTTCGGTAATCAAGCGTCGTGCATCCACTGGACTTTTAAATTTAGTCCATAGCATCACTCGTGTCACCAGGGTTGAAACTGACGCGATGAGATGGGGTATAGGGAATGAGGATATGGCAGCATCAGATTACGCGGATACTCGCAAAGTAGGCGTAAGAAAGTGCGGATTTTTTATTGATCCGCAAACTTGCTGGTTGGGTGCCACACCTGATCGGCTTGTAACAGATCCCCGTTCAGAAGATCCTGATGGCCTTGTGGAAATCAAGTGCCCGTACGTAGCTCGGGATTGTTCCCTGGCTGATTATGTTGGCATGAAAAACCTCTCCTGTTTGGAGAAAGTGGATACTAGGTATCAGCTGAAGCGTCGCCACAATTACTTTTTTCAAGTTATGGGCCAGATGGCACTGACCAAGAGGTCATGGTGTGACTTCGTTGTGTGGACTCCACATAATCTTTTCATTGAGCGTATTGCTTTTGACCCTGATGCGTGGGCACAGCATCGTGAGGTACTTACCAAGTTTTATTTCTAATATATTCTTCCGTCCATGTAATTTTGATTAGAAGCTTGGCCGTAGTTATATGCCTATATAGCCCTGACATGCTTGCCTGCCCACTCGTGTGCATGCATGCATTCCCACCGGACATGTCAACCTGTGACGACAATCTGCTGTTCTAGTGTTTGCACACCAGTTACTCCTTGCCGCTGATGTTGCATTTTTCATTCGTTTTGTGCTGTCCTCTGCACTGGCCGTATTTACTGTCGCACCTGTATGCACACATATAATCCCTGGCTACGCTTTGGAACTGTTTTCGTTCCCTATGTTCTCTTTTCGCTTCGTTTTTGTTGCTCATGCCCTCATTTCTCTTATATTTGCTTGTATTGCTGAGGGAACATATGCTGATTTGTATTTGTGGATCGATATGTTGCATGGACCACCCATACTCATCTGGCGGATATGTGTCAATAATAATAATAATATATTTGTGTAGGTTGCTGAAGCTCTGCACATCAGAGCACTCTGACCAGTAGTCAAGGTTCTTTTGTGTATTTGTGTATGTTGCACACTATTTTAGTTTCAGTGTTTCTAAAAGTGCTCGGCGGCCTAACAAAATCACTTTACCTAAATACAAATCTCTGTAAAAGTCTATGTTCTTTTTGAATCTTCTGCTCTCTGGAACTGTTTACCACCGAAGATGACCGCTGCAGACTCCCAGCAGGAATTTAAAAAGAGTTTACATCTATATACACACGAGTGTGCCCATAGAACCACTGGCATTCCTACACCTCAGCAGTAATTGCACATCACGCCTTCCTTTTCCTAGTCTTATTCCATGTGTCAGGCTAACTTTTTCAACCCCCCGTTATGCTGCCCATTCAATATCGCACAAGTGGAGAACCCCTGGATAGGCTACTCGTCTCTGGGTCATCCCTCCAACAAACATAATAATAATACTCCATCAATGTACACAAAGCCAAAGTATTGTGGTAAATAAACATACGACCAACAAGGATAAGTCGCGTGCCTAAATTGTACTGTAAGGTTGTTGTACAGCCTCAGCTGACTCTGTCTCTTGACACGTTTGACATATCCTATCAATAGGATTCAAGTGTTCTGCATTGTTCAGAGTGTTGTGGTGGATGCACGTCCTCTCGGTCATAAGACTCATTTGATTGGATTTTGTCACTACTACATGAGTTAGGCATGACAAACGGTAGTGCCACATAATGTTACGCTGCATAATGCTACTTCGAAATACATACATGCTGCGCTGATGAGTTCAAAAAGAACGAAACAGCATGCTGTCCGCAGATTGAGTACATGTACATGTTCTATACATTAGTGACTCTTCACTATAATTATGCGCAAATGTGCACGCATACAGTACAAAGTCACAGGGCAGGCTGACTGCATTGTGTTCTGCGTGCATGTGTCACGATCCGTAAGCGTTGTCGTGCAGACGTGCAAAGGCAACCAAAGTTGCATATATTATACTACTCGTTGCCAAAGAAATCCAACCCACGTGCCGAAAGCAGCGCGAAGGCTCATGCGGCCCTCGGATCAGTTTTGGGAACATGCATGATGTAATGGAAATGAGAATGCGGCGCTACTTTTGACTCGCGGGCCGGAGTTCTTTGGCCACGACTGTACAAGACTACAATCGACTACACAGGCGGAGGAACACACACGTATACACTGAGTCACAACAACGAGCGGATGTCTTTTAACGAAGAGTGCTGTCACATGTTAGCACGAAAATCGGTTGACAGCTAATGTACTCTAGCTGTCACGAGAGTTTAGTAGTGTGAAAACAACATCACATCCACTGATGGTACAAGTGCAAAGTCCTGCACACATACATGTACATACGCTGCAATCACAGTGACGTGACGAATATTCGCCATGAGAAGTATGCTGAAGAAAAAAGAAACAATGAGCAGGTGTCTGAGCAACAAAGAGTGCCGTCACATGTTATGTGACTGCTTCATGCTATTGCTGGGATGATCCAAGTAGCATATAAAGTACACTGGATACAGTAGACCTCGGAGGATGATGAAGGGAGCCAGTCTTTCGCATGCGTGCCGGCCTCCGGACATGACCAAGGCCGTCATAATGCCACCAGCCTTCCTCGTATGGGGCATCCAGGCGTACACTGCCCGTGTAATGGTCACGTTGAGTACTGTGGAATGTGAGGGCAAATAGCCTGTATCGATGATCTAGGATCTCTATCTCCACATCTAACATGGCGGAACTTTCTAGAGCGAAGCCAACAAGTGAGAACGCGAATACAGGGGGTGCTCCGTGGACGAAAACACGCCGTTGAAACGTTCTCACCCCAGGACATCCAACAGACGGAATGGAAATTACTCCGGTTGGCAGATCTTCACTGCTATCAATGTCCTTGCATGGAGTTGGAGGTGGCTTCTGCCAATCACGGCGAGCATTTTTTAAGTTGAAGTTGATGCCAGCTTGATTGGCAAGCACAGGAAAGGGTGAGCGATGTTCACTAACAATAGATAAGCAGACGGGGCTGGAGCAAGTTGACTCGAAAGAACTTGTCAAAAACACCGCCAAGAGTTTCAGACCAAACAAGACCTCACTGCCATATGCATTGACAAAACCTGTTGCACTGGGTACAATACCAGCGTCAGCAAGCCAGCGCATCTTCGCAACGCTCCACTCTTCCAACAGCATGGCTCGGTGGACGTCACCAAGCAGTGTACATCGCTGTGCTAGAGTCCGACCAAGTTCATTATCGATTACCATCAGCAGGTGCAGAAATGTGACAATAGTATCCATAGGACACGTATTGCTGACATGTACCTAATGAAAAAGAATTCAGAAACACAGTAGAAGAAAATAACCCGAGTTTCTATTGCAGCTTGTTTACCTTTCTTCCATTCCAAGTCACATCACCACCGCCCCACGGGAGACTGGGTGGAGCAGGTCTACTAACAACAGCTGGCGGTGGCATCGCCGGTGATACAACTGGAGAAGATCGCACAGAAGTGGCGGCTGGAGATTGACGTTGCTGGGCAGGTGAAGGTACAGAACGGCGACGTACAGGCGTAACAAGAGTAACAGGTGTAACGGGTGATGGTGAGGGTGACTGGTCACTTGATTGTATGTTGATCTCCTTTGCAGCAATGACCGGTGATAGAAAGTTTACAAGGCGAGCACAAATCTGCCAGATCAATTCTAACGATGGCTTCATCTTTAGTGGGAACACATTCCTCAGGATACGAAATATCTGCAGAAGAAAGCAATGTCAAGCCAGAAGACGTTAGATGTTATGCGGACCAACATTTTCTCGGGGCAATGTGCGGGAGTGAAATGTTACCAATATCACTTGGAACTGTTTTCTGCAAAGATAAACCGTGATCTGACAGCACGCAATACAGCAAGCAAAATGGAAGTGTGCATGCATAGTATTGTGAAAGAACTGTAAGTAAACTGAACACCAATATGCATTATATGCTTTAGTACGAAGATGACTCATCCCGAACAACAAAACTATTTTCTTCTAAAGGCAAGGAAGACTAACGAAACAGATACAATATGATGCCACTCTAGAAAGGCTTTCATTCCATTTACATGCCTAAGATGATACACAGCATACCTTTATGCGTCTGATGATGCGTTCAACGTGAATCCGACATGATGACAGCTTCCTGGATGCAGCCTCCTCTGGAAGGGGAAGCTGTGGCCTGTCTTCGATGAAGGAAGGGGTCACGAGAGATACACCGTCTGGCAGCAAGTCCCCCAATCAGGAAGCCGCGATCAGCCATCACAACATCTCCGGACTCCAGCTTCGATACAAGACCGGAATGCTGCACAATAGCCTTGTCGGTTTGCCTCCCACCGTACAGCTTGGAGGCAAACAGAACAGCACCGTGTGGAGCAATGGCTACTAGTGCCTTCGCGGTGTTGTGATGTTTGTAACTGCTGAACGTTTCACTTTGTGCCCGGAACGAACTCGGCATCTCTATAAAAAATTCAGTGCAATCCAGCACCACGCGTGTCGATGGGAATGTCTCTCGGAAACACTCCGGAAGGTCTTCCTCAATACTCGATCTTGGCAGCCAGATCGGCACCTGCACCAACCGGTCATGCAGGACTCTGAGCCAAGTGCTCCAAATACGGCTAACTGTGGGCCGGCTGATGCCAAGACGATAACCGAGGTCCCGCTGTTGAAAGCCTCTCTTCAAAATGGCAAGAACAACAAACAATTCAAACTCTGGATCAAGACTGCGGTGACTAAGGCGTCTGGCACCAGATACGCCAGGTTTGGCTCCATAATACTGCATTTTCTCAGCACAGCGGCCAAACAAGCAATCAAACATGACCTTATACGTGGCATAGGACGGCAGGCCAGTGTAAAATCGAAATGCAGCGTCGTCGTTCTTATAGCGATTCAGGCTGAATTGCGTACCCTTCAGCAGCTTTACTTGCTCTCTCAGTAAAGCAAGCTCGTCACCATGAGCACTGTCTGCACCTACTGAGTCTCTATCTGAGCCTGCTGGCATGCCGTCAGGACCGCGGTCATCGAATGATATGGGCGACAATCTATCACTGCCATCGTCATCGTCGGATGCCAGCAGTGATCCGGGCGACCACTGTGTACTATCTAGACTCAGTGTTTCTGGCCGTAATAAAGGGCGTCGGGGTGACGTGCTGGCTCCATGCCGTCTCTCTTGCCGCTGTGGGAAAATGGATGGATGAGGGTTGTTGTTGGTTGGCCGCCTGTCAACAAAATGATCCCCACAAATTCGTGTGGAAGACGATGGCCTCCATGTCACGGGACGTGCACAGCGATTCCTCCAAACACGACGGGTTTGATGGTCACGGGGGAACTTATGAAAGCTTACCACTCCTCTGTCCTCACTTGAATTGCTATAACAGCCAGGCACACAACATGTAGTTCCACCTACAGTGCGGCGACGGCGAAATCGATCAGCAAAGGACGGCTCAGGACTTTCGCTCATGGTGACACTCACGTTACGACCAGCCCAGAAGAAAGCACCTTTGAGTTATCTCCATACGCCAACAGATCTCACAACAAACAAAAGCGAACGATTAGGCAACGGTATCATGCCAAAAAGAAGGTTATACTTTGAATTATTTAGTATGTAATCAAAAGGTTTTGTGAGCTCATTCCACCAACTATACCACTTTCAATAAATCGTGACGCCATTTTGTTTTAACACGCATACGGTCTATTATCGGTATGGTGTAAAACGCTCGCACGCCTATGCGTTTGCAACAAACACAGATGGCGAAGATGATTTCGATGGTATGACACTGAAAAGACGGCCCACTGTCCACCTGTCGAATGAGGAGAACTTCAGTAATACTTTGAAGAAGGGCTGAGGCTTCCTGCAGCTTCATCTGCGAAAAGAATTCGGGTGGACCCACCCATTCCCATAGCGCTGCATATCACATCCGAACCAGTTCCGTTATTTTTGCGCCTTTTCTCTCTCTCTGTCCCCCCCCCTTCTGCATACTAGGTGACATAATTCGCATCTTTTTTGGCGCTACACTCTGCGTATATACTGCTCTTGTGTGGCTTCCACGGTATTCATTGTTATTACCTGACGATGGCCAAGTGCCGAAACGTTGTATAAAAAATAACGGAACTGGTTCGGATGTGATATGCAGCGCTATGGGAATGGGTGTGTCCACCCGAATTCTTTTCAGTAATACTGTTCTGGAAAACGTTGCCCGTGTGACATCAGGGCATTTCCAGTTCAAAATGAGACCATTCCTTCCCTTCTTCAATGTGGATGATGCGTGGTTGCCTCCAGGAACACAAATCAAAATACGGTTTGATTTACCGCAAACCCAGCTCTCTAGATATATGATTGTCTCAGATAGAGGCGGAGGAGCAAACAGTCTAACAGGTGTTGGGCCTGTCATCATTGATCTGCTGCAGCTGGACTTTGTTTACCCTACCTATAGAATGGATAAGGCATACGTAGATCAAGTGCGTCTGCCTAAAGAACTATATTTCCATACCTGGTGCCCTCGGCTTATACAGAAGAGTTTGACAGACGATGCAGGTACTCTGGAGCTACTCCACAATTCAGATATTCCTAGGAGGATGATCCTGTTCTTTTCTGATCTGAAACTCGGACAGGATGCTGTCTTGGGTGGCGGCGCTGCCAGTAATTTCAGCAATCGCCTGGCCATGATACATGCGAATCTTTCCCAACTCAGAGTAACCATTAACGATGAATCTGTGTTCGACAGTCCGCTGAAGTTCAGATGGGAGTGTTCCGAAAACAGTGATGCCAAGCACTATTATGACTATAACAAGTCGAGCTATTTACGTGGATACAACTTGGTTCAAGAGTTCTTTGGAAAGACCTATGGGGCTGAAATACCTATCACAGCCTCGGATTACTGTAACCGTTACTTTATGATACCAATCAACCTAAATCTAGACAGGATGCTGGACAATGAAAAGGTCAGGGGTAACATGTCACTCGATTATCAATTCGCCAATGTGGCCAACGCCCCGATCAATGTACCCAGTCACGCAAGCAAATCGATCAAGGTCAATTTATTATGTCTCGACCAGTATATGTATACCATGAGCAAGGAAGAAGGCATCAAGTGGGAGACTGTGTAAATATTTCCACGTTATAGTAACAATGCAGGGAGGAGATTTGGAAACCATACCCCGAGCGTGGGGAGGTGATCTACAGACTTTGGAAAGACAGTACGGGTCTGGTATCTGGGGCTTCACATCAAAAACATCTTTGGAGGTGCACAGGCTGAGGAGCTTCGAAAAAGAATGCAAGACCCCGAACAAGGCCAAAAGCTCACCCAGAGGGGTGGGCTTGGGATGGGGGCGATGTTAGGCATGTCGCTTCTTCCCATGCTCTTGGGTCGAGGTCAAGACGGCGAGTCCATCAGACGTCAGATGGTAGCCGGCCGTGAACCCATGATGCAGCGAAGCGGACTGAGCATTCCACCGGGACTCGTGGCTAAAGCCCTACCCATATTGAAAACCGTTGGTGTTCCCTTAGCTATGGTTGCGCTAGCGTCCGTCGGTGACAATCTGGTGGACAAGGTATTTGGCCGGGGTCGAAAGGGAAATAGTAGAAAAAGCAGTACTTGAGCAAGCAAGAGACGATCTCAGAAAAGACGATCGAAGCTACCACCCACTAACAAATTCTCCAGGGGGCAACGTGCAAGGAAGCGCAAAGGAGACGGTTTGAAGAGGGAGGTCGAAGGTCTGGGAAGGCAGCTGTTTGAACATGCAAAGTCGAGATTACAGTCCGGCATCAAGTCAGGAGCTAAGAAGAGAGGTAGAAGACGATGATCCTCAAACCCTCCAGAAACCATTACTGACCGTATCCGAACTCGCATCGAAAATACCCATAACCCTTCGTTTATACCTCAGAGCTTTAACATTTAATTTTTCTCGTTATAGTAAGTATGGACTTTTCATCACTTCTGTCTCTGAAAGGAGGGTCTGCCTCTTTACTCCGCGTAGCAGGTCTGTCTCTACGATCTCAACCCAAGTACTCTGAGATTCTCCCCTCCCTCCAAACATGGGGACAAAATGTGCTATTTCTGGGTCAGAGCAGCACGGGGAAATCCCATTACCTCAAGGAAATACTTCGAGAGGTAAAGCCGGAACGACTTTACGTCATCTCCAATACTTCACCGGAGCAATACAGGCAGGAAGGCACGGAGTTGAAACATTACAGTGCAATGCCTGAGTGTATCGAAGAGACGGACATTCAGCCGAAGTCCTTTGTCATTATAGATGATATACGTGTCATGGGACT